AAGTTTGAGCCGACTTCACGTTCATTTGATGGTTTGAATTCAGGCGGGACAAACTTTTTGTTCTTACGAACTGTACCAACGCTGTACAAACCATTTGTTTGCAGCTCTGCTTGCGTATCATAGTTTGAAAAAAAATTGTCAAACACAACAGTTCGGTTCGTCCTAAAATAAAAAAAAACATAGCTTAGAGTATAAAAATATTATTTGAAATTTTGCTAGTCAATATTTACTTGTAATATGGTTGACACAAATTGAGAACGATGTTTTTTGCAATGTTTGTTTGACGTGCAGCACCAGAACGTTCTCGACCAAGGTACGGAATTGCCTTTAGTGGATACCAATTTTTGGCATCTACCAACCAAAAAATTTTCAAACCGTATTTGTCAGGTTTGCTCGGAATATACTGTTTGAAACTGCATCGTCCTCTGAATGGCACTAGCTGTTCATCAATAGTCACGTTTTCTCCTGGTGAATACATTTTTCCTAGGTTCTTCACAACCATATCAAAAAGGTCCCGAATTGGAGCCAATTTATCTTGTTTGCGCCGTTCCGAACGTGTATCTTTGTCATCAAATCGTAAAAAGCGTAGCAACTCCATGAAACGTGTCAAGCACAATGTTGCACGAAACAATGGCATTCCTCGTGTAATTCCATAGAATTCACGATAATTCCGCTTACTTGATCTATCAACACCGGCGGCAAACAGTAAACCAATAAATGCATGAATTTCAATATCGTCGACATCTTTGAAATTTGCTTTGTGTTTACGGCCCTCAATATTTGTGTAACGTACAATCATATCGATCACTGGCTGAGAAAAAATTGCGTTGAAATAGTCGAAAGGACTATCGAAATGTTGACCAGGAACTTTTGTGACCGTCATCAATTTTGATCGATTTGGATTGCGTTGCTGTCGTGCCCATTGAACCGGCTCGTGCTCCCATTCAGTTCCGTCTTTGCCAGTGAACACGGTGCTTTCTTCTACCTCTTCATCATCAACGTTCATGTCTTCGTTCTCGCTCTCGCTCTCACTATCCTCTTCAAAATTACTTTGATGATCTTCTTCACTGTCGGTGAGGTCATCGATATAACTTTCTTCTTCGTCAGCAAAATCGGCATCCAAACTCTCATCGTCATCATTTGCTTGCATTGCATCAGCAATTTGACGCTGTGTTAGCCGTCGCAAATTAACCATCGGTTGAAACATTCTACACATATGAATCACAAAAATAATTGCACAATAAAACCAATCGAAAAAGCAAAACAGCGAAATAAAATATTTTACCTTTTGTCTCGAATATTTTCATGTAAAAATACAAGCGGAAAAAGATGTCAACGAATAAAAATTTACGTTTGGAACACAATATAGATGAAAAATATATATTCAAAACAAATCACTGCTTTGTTGTTTACCGGAATGGAAACACTGAATGTTGTGTCAACGAATGTCTTTGAGTTTCATATTTGGTTATATGTCATTTTTCATACAAAATCCTTTGGGGCCTAAAGCGACCCCTGGTGTGTTTTTACGTTAGCTTTTGGTATCAAACTTTCCAAAACTCCATCTATGCGTCAAACATGGAAATATTTGATTGTATATCATAGATATGATATTAAGAAAGAAAACGCTCAACGGAATTTTCCAATTTAAAAAATATTTTTGTTTTTTTTTTTTAAAAAAACAACTCTTAGGGCCTGTGAGACCCCACCTGTGCGTTTAAGGGTTAAACATCCAAAAATATGTATTGGGGGGTTTTTGGGTACGAGAAAACCGAATATGACATTAGTTTTGCGATACAAATATATTTCGACATACCTTTCATACAAATATTTCAAAAAAATTGGATTTTTGTATGGAAGCCATGCCTGTATGATATCGTAATGACCTGAAACTTTGCGCAGGTTATTTTTATCACACAAAAAATAATATTCCGAGAGTTTGAAGACATTTCAATACATATTAAAGGGTACCTTCCGAACAAAATTTTGGATTTTTCACCCAAAAACGAAAATTTTGTATGGGAAGTACCCCTAAATTGTATTGAAATATTTTCAAACTTCCAGAATGTTGGCTTTTTGTGAAAAAATACCCTGTGTCAAGTTTCACGTCGTCATGCAAGGATTGATTCCATTCCAAAATTCCCATTTTAAGTAATTTTTATATAAAAAGTGTGTCAAAAATTATGTGTATCGCAAAACTAATGTCAGATTCAGTTTTTCGTGAGTTCAAATTCAAGTAAAAGATAAGTTATAAATGAATTTTGTGGATCACAGTGCGGAAAAGTTCATCTTACGTATGTAAGACATTTTATTTCATTTAAAATAAATTCTTATGCTTTTTTTTTCGAAAAGAATTTTTTTTACTTTTTTTGGGTTTCAGGCTCTCAATTATTCCCGGAAAAATGTTTCAATGAACATTTTATTTAATGAATTTATTGGAAAATGTATCATGTAATTTTCATTTTTACCGACAATTATTCACACAGAATGTGTCATCAGTTTCATAGTTTCATCGGAAAACATTTGAAACGAGTGGAAACGATGAAGGTGGAGAAAACAGATGAAACGATAGAAAACGTCAGATTGAAGTGAAAGAAATGTCAAAGCCATATCTGTTCGATTGTAATTTTCTTTGTTGATCGAATTTTTCTTATAAATAACAAACGTATTATTTTCAAAATTTTATAAAAGGTAAATATAATTTCAGCCCATTCTTTGTTTTTAAGCATCCATTAAACAGTTAAATTCTAAAGAAAAAACTTCATGTCAATGTTTTAGTGTATATTATCGAAAAGTGTTTGCTCCAAAAAATACTAATTATCATGTTATTGTTCTATTCTTATGCAGTTTCGCTATGAGTAATCCACAAAAAATACCGAAATTGTCACACTCTGATAACCAGAATTATAATGAAGATGCAATCGCTGGTCCATCAAATATGGAATCCCCGCCGAAAATATTCAATTTAACCATCGATTCATTGGATGAAATATTTGAATATTTGAATGTGAGAGACCTGCATTCATTCGGTCAAACATGCAAGCGGATGCGCAAAGTGGCCGGCGAATATTACAAACAAAATTATATATCGGCTGAAAAATACGGCCGACGGGATGGAATTTACACGAAATATTGGGACAAAGATGGTGTCGTAGGAGAAGAAACTGAAATATCGGTATTCGGTCCGTTCATGAAATGCATTACATTCGACATTGCCGAAAACGAACGCTTTCCATTGAAACTATATTCGGATGAGAATTTTGAAGGTCCGCTCCGTTATGCTGCTTCCCATATCAAGGAATTTAAGTCAATCGATCACATTAGTTTGACGCGGTTCAGTAAAATTAATCACCACCGAATTAAATTTATCGAAAAATTGTTGCCCCAATTAGAAAGTATAAAAATCGATCGATCGAAGATAACATGCAATTTTTACGAAGTGGTGCTCAAACAATGTCACAATTTGAAGAAGATGTTGTTTCACGAGTCGTCCATGATTGAAAAAAAGTGGCTTTCACAACATTATCCCAAGCTTAAACATTTCGGAATTTTGGATGAAGATCAACATCGATTTGATGAACTAAGCGAATTTTTTGTACGTAATCCAACTCTTCGGACGTTTTTAACGAATTTTAGCATTTTATGGAAAAATCGTGAAATATTTTTAAATGCAACAGTCAAACTGAATACATTGGTAGTATACAAAGGAAATATTGCTTCATTGGATGGAAGCCTATATTTGAATCAAATTGTCGACTTACTAAATCAACTCCATGAACATGGTTTCTATAAAGAACTGCATATTCACGTCGATCGTCTTTACCAGGGATTCAGCGCTTTGATGACTACTCTACCAGCTCTCAAATTGTTATACATTGAAGAATTGAAGCAGTGTTATGATTTGCCGCAATTGACCAATCTGGAAGTACTGATCATTAATTTTTCGCGTAAACCGAATGTCAAAGATTGTGAAATGTTAGCAAATAATTTGATAAAACTTGAACGTCTTGAAATTGGCCAATGCGAAAGTATCTATACCATTATGCCATTCATTCGTCGATCACGAAAATTGAACAAAATCATAATGAAAGGCTATAATGTGCATAATTGCAGCAGTCGAGGCATTGGTGGAGCTCTGAATTTAACGATGTTGGACAAGGAACGTGCCAAGTTGGATAGAGCACGGAAGATAACGATTTATGTGCGTGACGATGTATTTTTGGCTACGAAATGGGCGTTCAAGAATGGTGAAACCAATTTGAGCCACATCGAAATGAGACGGATGGATTCAAGATGAGACCAACGGCAATCTAAGACATATTTAGTGCAGTGGCTGAAGATAGAAGAATATTCTTAGTGACCCGAACCGCATTTCGGTAAATTCATAATATAATCCACACATTTTGACATTTTTTCATTCTTCAACCCAATCATATTGTACTTAATTTATTATATATTATACGTAAATGGACGTTCGTTTTGTTGTTGTGAACATTTCACAATATCATTACTCTAAGACATGTATTCGAATTAAAATTCATACAATGAAGTGAAAAAGTGTGACCTACCTCAAAATTTGTAGTTGGTTAATGTCGTTAGTATTAAATGAAAAATGCAAATAAAATTTCTACTGAGATCCATTCTGTTGTAAAAGCGAGTTGTATTTTTAATTCAATAAAAACTTGGATATATTCAAGGTAATCGTATCTATTGGAAGGAAAAGGCACAGACTTATGCTTTTCAAATAAGATGCTCTTTCTGGCCTAAAAATGTTAATAGGACAACCAGGAGTTTGTTTCTTAACATATGTGTTATTATATGAAATCAGCCATCAACCAGCAACCACTCTTTGTATCAAATTCAACAGAAAAGTGTACTATACTTCCGTATACTTCAAATAACATTTTGAAAGAGAAAAAGACTTGTATATTTGGATTTTCCTTTATTCAAAAATTTTCTCAGATTATGATTGAATCAATTTTACTTTTCCGCACACACCTAGTGTGTAAGGTAAAGTATTGGAATCGGTCGAAAAATTAACACCCTCAAATAACATGTGTTCTGGGTGTTTTAGGAGCCGGAGAACACGAATCTAGCGTTTTTTCGATGTCCGAATGTATGTGCGTGGTACGCTGTACGCTGTACGCTGTACGCAAAAATTGGTTAACACGATAACTTTCAAACAAGAAAAGTAATTCAAAATCTGACTTCACAGGATGATTGGGGGTGCCGAGGAATAGAAACCATTAGATTTTGAGCGACTTTGGTTGACAGGGTAAAGTGTCATGTCTGGTGTGATGCCCATGGCCATCCATGGGAAAAATTCAATTTTTCTTCCAAAAGTGATATTTAATGTATACTTAAACACTCAAAAATGTGTATTGGGGGGTTTTTGGGTACGAGAAAACCGAATATGACGTTATTTTTGCGATACAAATAACTTTCGACGCACTTTTCATACAAAAATTTAAAAAAAATTGAATTTATGTATGAAATCCATGTCTGTATGATATCGTAATGAGCTGAAACTTTGCACAGGTTATTTTTATCATACAAAAATACCATTTCGAGAGTTTGAAGACATTTCAACGCATATTAGGGGTACCTTCCGAACAAAAATTTGGATTTTTCGCTCAAAAACGAAATTTTGTATGGGAAGTACCCTTAATATGCATTGAAATTTTTTAAAACTTTCAGAATGTTAACTTTTTGTGAAAAAAATAACCTCTGCAAATTTTCACAAGATTACGATATCATATAGGCATGGCTGCGATACAAAAATTCCCATTTTTAGTAGTTTTTGTATGAAAAGTGCTTCGAAAATTATTTGTATCGTAAAACTAATGTCAGATTCAGTTTTCTCGTGAATTCTTTGAGTAAAAGATTTGTAATAAATGCATGTTGTGGATCATGGTGCGGAAAAGTTCATCTTACGGATGTAAGACATTTTATTTCTGTTCTTTTTCACTTCTAACATTGAAAATTGTAAGGGAAGGACAAACTTCTCTAGCTTTCTTTCAAAAATGAATCTGAAATGATTTTTAATTTAAGTGTGAATATTGATATCATTGATAATTTGAATAAAAAAATTCTTTTTCAAAAAAATTATATCTAATAATGATGATTCCATTCAAATGAATCCGATCGTCTCATTTCGATGAAGTTCAAATTGGTGTCACCGTTTCTGGTCG